CAGAAAGGAACCAAGCCACATCAGCTACTGGCCAATTCCAGAGGACAATTGAATTGCATTTTGCAATGTGGAACTATAAATTCTGGCTCATCTGAAAAAACACTTATGTGCATAGGGAAACTAATGGCACATACGTTGTTTTTAAACCAGGCCGGAAGTTATAGTTCCGAATTGCAAAATGTAGTCCAATTTAATTATTTACGAGAGAACGTTTGTGCGGATTCCTTTAAAAATGTTACAGAGTTCGCTTTTTACGATGAAGAATATTCACTGAAATTTGCACAAAAATCCGCACAACCGTTTTTATGTAAAAAAGTAAAATGCCCGATTAAATTTGACAAAAGCTGATGAGGGCTTGGTTCATTTCTCCTTAACGCAGTCCATCTATAAAGCTGACATTATCATTGATATTAGAATCAGACTGATATTGAAACATATTAACTACCTTTGATTGATACTGGTTTCGTCAAAATGGACCAAATAGAACATCACGAAAAAAAGCATGGAGAATAACGCATCAAATCAATGAAAAAAATGATCCGTTCTTACTTTTTTAAATGAATTTTATTATATTTTAAGCAAAATATTAACGCAGTCAATAAATGAGGGAGCCAAATCAAAACCTTAAAGGATAGGGGAAAGTTTTAGGAAAACTTTTTTTCGACCTATATAGGCATTTGGTTTACGCCGTTGGCTGCCTTTTATCATCATAACTTTTTCGAACGAATTCTTTGAGAGAATCTCTTTTCTTTCAAATCAAATAAGAGGAAAGCTTAAAGCAGATGAATAAATTGAGACGATGACTCTGAGAGGTCCCTAATGACTATATTATTTACAAGTCATCAGAACTCTCTGCAATAATATTTGAAGATCAAACGGTGAAAGGGAGCTCTTTCAAGAAGAAAATAAATAAAACTTCTGCAGCAGCTTGTCAGATTGCCTAAAATATATTCGAACACCGAAATCAGCGAGTTTCGGTCTTCAGTTCATTTCCTCTATACACGGACGAGGAAACAAGTATACTAAATTTAGGCAATTTGGTCGAGATTTGAGTGATTTTGCTCATTTAAAATAAACTTCACCCTGAAACCGCTGTTTTTGACTTATTTCTGGTACTTCAAATTACTGTAAAATAACAGCGGTATAGTCATGGCACAGTATGAAGGAATAACAATACAGTTGCTATTATTGCCGGATGTTGTTAAGATATAGCGAATTTCGGTTTCTTTATTCCCTTTTTTTTCTTCTCGCGAGCCCTCTTCACTTTAATGTGAAAAAATAATTTATAATAAAACCCATAACTTTCCTTATCTCTTGCGCGTTGACAATAGCGTCCTCTTAGCCTTGCGACAAAGATGATAGGAAGATTAAAGACTTACGTAAAATGCCTGGAAGGGTTCATAAGATTGAAGAGTTCGGGAAATTTTTTGTGAAAGCAAGTGAATAAACACATTAAACGCCGGTTGTTTGACGGTGTTTTCAGATGTAAAATAAATACGACAACGCCCTTTACCCTGCGCCTCGCTACCCGCGACTTCTGAAGATGCTGCAAAACTTTCTCTCTTCTCGTAGGTTCCAGACTCGATCGAGAAAATACCCGGGGGACTATTCGAGGAGCCTAGCGCAGGATGAGAGGTGGAGCTGGACGCGCGGTTCCCGACTTGAAAGAAGGGAAGAATTGAATTGGATCTCTTCTCTTATCCGAACAGTGTCTGGGGTATGTGTTCCGTCTGGTAAGTACAACTTCCAAGTGGAATTTCTTAACGAAAAATTGCGATATTTTATTCATTTACATTAAAGTACATAAATGACACAAACACAGTGTCTACGCTGAAAAAAAAAGAATCTTAAATTTGCCGCCAAGAAGTATTTCTTCTTAAATCGAGAATTTTTCTTGTTAATATAAGCTACTATTTTGCTTAACCCAAGCATTATTTATCTTGTATCAAGAAAAAGTCAGCTTAAAGGAAGATAAAGAAAATTCTTGGCGGCAAATTCAAGAATCATCAGGCTTGATCCAAGCTACTTTTTTTGGCGCGTATACGTAGTATACCGCCTTTGCGATCGTTTCGACCCCCCCCTCGATACAATAACCGAGTCCCCTAGTTCCTTACCGAAAAGTGACTACCGCGAACTTCTGAGATTTTCCAAAGCGTGTAAAAAGTTTACTAATCCGTCAATAATAATGATTAAAATTTNAATTCTTGGCGGCAAATTCAAGAATCATCAGGCTTGATCCAAGCTACTTTTTTTTTTCAGTGTAAACATAGTGTCTAAACCCCCCAAAACTTAATTTTTAAACATCATTATAAAAATCATTCAGAAAATTAAATGCCTTAAAAACTAATGAGGTTTTTAACCCCTTGAAAAAAGCCTTAACTTCCCAGTCTTTCAAGAGTTTTCTTACTTTCAGTGGAAGATTATTAAAGAACCTGATGGCTGGATGTGACACTGACTGTTTAATGTTTAGCGACCTTAAATTGGTCTTTTTGAAATTAAGTTGCGATTCCTCAACAATTTTTCGGCAATGAAACCGCTAAGATCATCAACATCTGAGCAATTTTATTACCCTCGATCTCGTTGCAATTTAACTATATAAAATCGCGTTCAATAGAATCGGGATTTTATTTCGATCCATCCCGATTTCTTGTTTGATAATATTGCGCTTAAATCGCTGTCGAGATAATCGTCATTTTATTGCAAATTTATGCGATGGAATTGCAAATTTTTATCCGATAATATTGCAATAAATCGATGTTGATAAAATTGGGGCACATTTTCCGATCAAAACGCAACTTATCGCGATCACTGCTGCTCGGGCTTAAAAATCTAAGAACCTTCAGTGGTAAAAAGTGATGATCTCCAGCGGTATATTGAGGGATGAAACACAAAGAGTATAGGAAAATGAAAAGGAGTAGTAGATGAGATATAAGTAGGTAGTCTCATGACTAACCTCGACTTATGCTCATTTAATTGTTCTTTCATGGATGAAACAATCAATGCATATGGGATATGTATGCATTTCGCAGTTGGCTAAACGATAAAATAGTAAAAATTCATTCCAGAGTAGAATCAAATAAGTTTTGCTCTTGGAGCCATCGTTTTTTAAAAAAGTGACTTTAGTTATTTTAAAACTTCAGCATGTTTTCTGAAGTCCTCATACTCTTGGAAAGTCGATTTTAATAGTGGTCAATCTTCGTTTTCAACAGAAATTTTTTTTTTTGGCCTCTTTTATCACTGGAAGTTAAATTTTTTGTCCGTACCGTAGACCAACTAAACAGGCTTGTTTTCCTATCAATACGTGCGATAATAAATCCGTTTTAAGTTTTTTTGCACTCATAGAGCTATATTCTTGTAAAAGAATAAAACAAAATATCCTTCAAAGTTTTTACTTTCAAAATTTAGCCCCCAAATTGCTCTAAAGTCCGATTTCTAGAATTTTGCGCCATCATTTTTCTCCTAAAAAAGCCAGGAAATGTAATGAAACGCTTAATTTTAATTAATTTCTTTAGAACTAACTTAGAAGATGTGGTAGACAACTTTTTTAAAGAATTTCTACAGGTTTGCTCTTTTTAAAGCTACAAATTGTACAATTTTTTACTGGTCTACGGTACAGGACAATAACGTTACGGTACGGACAAACGGGCTACGGTAAGGACGAAGAGGCATTCGTAAATATTACTGTATGCAAGGGCCGAATTATAAAGAACTGAAATTCATTGGGGAATAAACTGCTAAGTTATAGCATAGCTTATAAGTGCCACTTTTATAAATAATTACAGGCAATAAAGGTAAAAAGAGTAAGTAAATCAGTTTTTCAAAAATAATGAACTGCTTTTATTTTAAAGTAAACGCATTAAATAATTAGGGACAAATCTTAGAAGCTGAGTTCTTAAAACAAGCTTGAC